GCATTCTCTATCTCACAGACTTCTGTACCTGCATATCTCATAGGTCTCATAGTTATCCCATTTCACAAGCTCATGTGCCTATCTCATCTTATTAGCTACAATGACAATTAATCTCAAGCTCCTGTATTTACTTTTTCTCATAGGTTCTTGGGCATTCTTCACCTCACAGACTTCTATAAATACCCATCTCATATATTCATGGCTATTGCATTCTACAGGTCCACGTATCTATCTCATCTTATGAGCTTTGATGTTAACTAATCTCAAATTGTGGTGCTTGGTTCTCCTTATAAGTTCTTGTGCTTTCTTTATATCACAAACTTCAGTACATACCCATCTCATAAGTCCCAAGCCTATCTCATTTCGTAGGTCTATGTGCCTATCTTATCTTGTTAGCTCTGATATTAACTAATCCCAAACTTCTGTACTTGCTTCTTCTATTAGGTTCCTATACACTTTTCTTCTCATACACTTTTGTACATACCTATTTCATAGATCCCATGACTATCTCACTTCACGGGTCCATGTATCTATCTCATCTTATGAGCTCTAATGTCAACTAACCTCAAGCTTTTATTCTTGCTTCTTCTTATAGGTTGTTGTACATTCTTCATTTCTCACACTTATATACATACCAATCTCATAGGTCCCAAGGCTATCTCATTGCACTAGCCCATGTGTCTTGATGTCAACTAATATTAAGCTTTTGTACTTGCTTCTTCTCGTAGGTTCTTACACATTCTTCGTCATAAACACTTCTATACATATCCATTTCATAGATCTCATGATTATCTCACTTCACAAGCCTATGAGCCTATCTCATCTCATGAGCTACGATGTCAACTAATCTCAAGCTCTTGTGCTTGCTTTTTCTAATTAATTCTCATGTATTATTCATCTCACACACTTTTGTACCTACTCATCTCATAGGTCTCATGGCTGTCTCATTTCACGGGCTTATAAGCCTATCTCATTTTATGAGCTTTGATGCCAGCTAATCTCAAGCTCTTATGCCTGCTTCTTTGCATAAATTTTGGTACATTCTTCATCTTGGATAGGTTTCATGTGCCTATCTTATCTTATGAGCTCTGATATCAATTAATCTCAAACTTTTGTACTTGCTTCTTCTTATAGGTTCTTATATATTTTTCATCTCACATACTTCTATACCCACCCATTTCGTAGGTCTTATGACTATCTTATGCCACAGGCCTATGAGCCTATCTCCTCTTGCATACTCTGAAGTCAGTTAATTTCAAAGCTCTTCTACTTGCTTTATCTCATAGGTTCCCATGCCTTTTTCATCTTACAAGCTTTTGCACTTACACACTTTAAAGGCTTTCATGCTTTCTACTTTTATAAGTCCATACCTTCTCTTATAGGCCCTTTTGCACATACCTAGGACCTATGCCTAGTTAGGCTCCTGCATATGCACTCCTAAGATTGCACATATCATAGGTTAGCGTGCTTGTTCTAATAATTTTAGTGCTTACGCCACTTAATATGTCTCACATCTACTCACCTCATAGGCCCTTATACCTATTATGTCTCATAAGATATCGTGCTTTTTGATAGACTTTCATGCTTGCTACATCTCATAAGTTTTTGCACGTACTTACCTCATAGCTTCATGTTTGTTGTATCTCATAAGCCATCATGCCTGCACTTGTTAGGCTTTAGTGTTAAGTCCTCACGCTTACTTTAATCCATAGGTATCTGGACCTTCTCCATCTTACAAACTTTATGCTTCTACATAGACCCTATAGGTTCTCGTACTTTCCTAATCTAATAGGTCTCTATGCTCATGACATCTAATAGACTCTTACCTACCTACCTTATAGGCTTTCATGCTTGTTACTTTCAAAAATCTATCTCTTATCTATCATGCAAGCCTTCGTGCCTACATAGGTTCTATGCTTATTAAATTCTTTTGACCTTTATGTTTATGAACGTGTAAGCTTATTGTACCTCATAGGTTAGCACGCTTATTCTTACAGGCCTCACTCACTTACTAACTAATCCCTCACGTAATTTCATCTCATTGGTTTCTATGTATTTTCTTATAGGTCTCTATAATCGTGGCATTCGATAGACTTTTACCTACCCACTTTGTAGGCTTTCAATCTCTTTGCAAATCCCAAAAAACTAATTCTTAAATCAAACAATAATTATTTTCTTGTTATTTTTGTTCGTTCTTGGATTTTTTTTTATTGTTCTATATATTTCTCGTTTATTTCTTATTGTATAAAAAAATCTCTTATTAATAAGACATTTTGGTTATAAAAAAAATAGTCTTTTAAATCAACGCAACAACCAAGTAATTTTGATAGAGTGATGGATCCACCTTCAACATCGCTTGGATCGTAAGGGTTTATTGAGTAGTGGTGTACTAACTTGAACCCCGTGCAGGAGTGAATTTACAAAAAATAATAACTAAGTAGAAATTAAGCTAAAAAAAAAAAACACTTTTGAAACTCATCCAAACCTAATTTTCAAAAGAACTACGTAGTAGCTTTGATTCTTCTGTTGCATACGGAAGATACGTAGGAGCTGGAATCTGACCCGTCAAGTCCATTTTTTTTAAAAAAATTTTCAGGTTTAAAATATTTTTAAAATTGTTTTAAACTAAGATTAATTTCTAGCATATTTTCTTTATAAAAATTAAAAATAAAATTTTTATTTTATTTTTTAAAAAAATAAATAAATAAAAGTGTTAAGATAAATGTTTTTAATATATATTTTTTTAATACAAAAAATGAAAAAAGAATAATATTTTACAAATAACTCATTCCTTTAATTTAAATAATTTTTATTGTGTTTCCTTATTTAAAAATAAAATTAAATTAAATCTTTCAAAAAATTGTAAAAATTAGAAATAAATCTAAATAATAATAATAACAATAATAATAAATTTGAAAATTGTAAAAGATTAATTAGTTTCTTTTAGAGTGAAATAAATGTTGTTAAAATTAAAATAAAATTTTGCATAATTAATTAGAAGGTAACCGTTTTAACCAACAGACGTCGTAGGGTGCTAATACCTTCCTTACATATAAATGACTCTCGAGCCTAAATTTAATTTTGAAATTTTTTTTTATCAAAAGTTTTTCCAACGTTTTCTTTAATAACTTTGGTGGTGACTCTTTGTCATCGCCGTTCCATCGTGACCCCGATTGCGACAATTATTTAAGCTTATTAATGTCTAGAATTAAATACATCTAAACAAACGAATTAATACAACACAAAAGAATACCAAATCACAAATAAAGACAAAAACAAAACAAAAATAAAAACAAAAACTACAAATTAAAACAACAAAAAAGCAATAATAAACTCTAAAATGAATCAAAATTGACAACGTATTCTTGACAGTAGTTTCACTTTGATAGACGATGCCGAGTCGCTATCAAAATAACTAAATTTTGCTAAGGATTTTGCAATATATAGCTCAACCTAGGTCGATTCACAAAGATACAGCTTCAATTAAATTCAATTTTAGGTTTTTTAAAAGAATGAAAGTGAGATTTTGGGGGTTTGAAAACTGCGAATTAATTAAATCAAATTATGAAAAAATTAAAATTGAGTAAAAATAAATTAAAAAATATCAATCCACAGAATATCAAATGCGTGTAACTCTGATTAACACAATATCTAATGATTTTAATCCAAGTTTGAATGTTTACCCAATTCAATTATTAATTCAATTGAATAACCTAATTGAACTAGATCATGGATTAAATTAAATTATCATTTAACTTAACTTGAATTAATTATCAAATTAGAATATCAAACGAATCGTAATTCAAATTCTAACCACAGAAAGTTAATCATGATCGCAATATACAAATATGAGATTAGAGAAAAAGAAGACAAACTTGGAGCAATTTGGCTCAAAAACTCAAATCAGATGTACAGCGTTTGGATTCTGCAAACTGAATGGGAGATTTAGCCTTCCATCAAAGCACTTAACCCATGCAATAATGAGAAGATAACAAAAAAATTCGAGAAAAAGTAAAAATAAGAATTCTTATTTCGACTAAATCTCAAAAATTTAAAATGTCTAATCGCTCACACACCTAATTCAGAACCTTATTAGTCTATTTATAAGTTCTAATTAGGGTGAATTAAGTGGCTGAATTTGGGTCTTAATAATATTTAAAAGTCTAAATATAATTATTAAATAACAGGGATTCAAATGTAATCCTGCAATAATATTTAGCAAATCTGCCTTAACTTTAAAAAATCATAAAAAATAAAAAACAACTCCAAATTCAATGATCCATATACACATTTTGAAGCACTGGACGTGTAGAATCTAATGTAACTGGAATTAACAAAAAATGATACATATAAAAAAAGTTATGACAAAAAAAGTAATTAGAGGTCAGAATAACTAAAAATACAAAATTAAAGTATTTATTTATAACAAATCCAATTTATTCAAATAATAAAAAATAATAAAAACTCTAAAAATAAAACATATAAAAAATATTTATAAATTAAAATAAAACTATAAATATAAAATTAAAATATGTAACATCAATTATAGCGAACAAGTATTGAAAGCGTAGCGTAGCCAAACTCATTCCAATAAAAATAAAGTTTAAATTTACTGATTCCAGTAAAAATGAAGTTTAAATTTTTTACAGAATACTTAATGATTTGAAGAATTAGTCAACAATGTGTTTCGTTGACATACCTTAGTCAAAGGTCAAATAAGGCGGCGTACCCATTAGAATAATTTATGAAAAAGAAAAGATATTGACACTTTGTGACCATGACTGTAAAATAGTACTCAAACTTGCTAAACGTTGAACTTATTGATTACAATCATTAGTGAAAATTCTGAAATCAAATTATATTATTATTTTAATGATACATTTTCTCACGTAATCTTTTCAATGCACTTTTAATTATTAATTAAAATTTATGATAAATTACAAAATTACAAAAAAAATATGAATTTAAAAGTAAATTTGAGTCGATATTAATGTTTTGGCATTGCAGAGAATAAACAAAACTGCACCACATAGGTTGCAAATATCCTAAAGCGAGATGCTTGTACAGCACAAGCAAAATGACCCAAGAGCAAATAAAACCAACGCGGAAAGACAGTTGCTTCTGCACATGGCGGCTATCCTCCTTCATATTCAGCATTCACACACAATAATAACGAGGCTGAGGCTGCAAAGCGTGTATGTTTAGCACCACACAATGTTGAACTTCCAAAAGTTTTCTCTATTGTTGACGGTGTTGTTTCTGCTGTGGAATCCTGTAATAGGCAAGAATGGGTGCACGGATAAGTGTGGAGGCGTTCATATTCAGTTTCCATTTTACCTTAAAACAACCAAATTGGTTCGCACCACAGACTATCCTCTTGGGTTTGATTTGTTATGCACTGATGCGGATGAGACTGTGCTGGAGCTCCCTTCCGTTCCAATTAAATTATTTGTCAAAAACATTGATTACAAGTCACAGCAAATCCAAATCTACGACCCTCAAAATTGCCTTCCCAAAGAGCTCATGAAACTCGGTAATTCATCTATTTCGCCGTTTAAATTCCAATCACTTGGTGCTGGTGCTGACAAGCAAAACGTTTCCTTCTTCCGCTGCAACTCAAAGTCATGCCCCATTTTGCAACTCGGATTTGATGACGACTTTGTTGATCCTGAAATACTTTCATGCACAAAGGTGAGTGATGTTTTGTCCGTCCAGTGGCGCGTGGGGGATTTGATGGATGACTTGAGCAACATTGTGGTTATGGAATGGTCCAACCCCGATTGCAGATCCTGTGCAGCACAAGAGCATAAATGTAAATATAAGAATGGTACCCAAAATGAAACTGAATGTTTCATTTGCCCAACAAATATAATTCCAAAGTCGACTATTATACTAATTGTTTCAGGTATGCAACATATCCTTTGTGCTTTAATTTATCTTTTCTTGGTTATTTATAATGTCTAATAGAAGAAACCCAAAACAGGGGGAATAGTTGGTTTGGTGCTTTTGCTGCTGCTAGTGAAGGCATTGTTTCATGTGTATGGCTTTTATAAGATGAAAGGAGAAGACCAAGCTAGGATAGAAAAATTCTTGGAGGATTATAGAGCAATGAAGCCCACGAGATTCACTTATGCTGACATTAAGAGAATCACGAATGGGTTTAGTGAAAGTTTAGGAGAAGGAGCTCACGGAGCCGTGTTCAAAGGAATGCTCTCCCGAGAAATTCTCGTTGCTGTGAAGATACTCAACGATGTAGAGGGAGATGGGAAGGATTTCATAAATGAAGTTGGAACAATGGGCAAAATTCATCATGTTAACGTTGTTCGCTTGCTTGGATTTTGCGCGGATGGATTCCACCGTGCTCTTGTCTATGATCTTTTCCCAAATGGGTCACTACAAAGATTCTTGGCTCCACCAGACAACAAGGATGTTTTTCTAGGGTGGGAGAAGTTGCAACAGATTGCACTTGGTGTTGCCAGAGGGATTGAGTATCTGCATCTTGGTTGCGATCATAGAATTCTTCACTTTGACATTAATCCCCACAATGTGTTACTAGATGATCACTACATGCCAAAAATTACTGATTTTGGACTAGCCAAGTTGTGTCCCAAAAATCAGAGCACAGTGTCTATGACTGCAGCCAGGGGAACCTTGGGGTACATTGCCCCTGAAGTTTTCTCAAGAAATTTTGGCAATGTTTCTTACAAGGCAGACATATATAGCTATGGAATGTTGTTGCTTGAGATGGTAGGAGGAAGAAAGAATACCAATGTGTCAGCTGAGGAAAGTTTCCAAGTTCTGTACCCTGAATGGATTCATAATTTGCTTGAAGGCAAAGACGTGCAAGTTAGTATTGAAGACGAGGGAGATGTTAAAATTGCAAAGAAACTTGCCATTGTAGGACTTTGGTGCATTCAGTGGAACCCAGTGGACCGTCCATCCATGAAAACTGTGGTGCAAATGCTTGAAGGAGATGGAGACAAGTTAATTGCACCCGCTACGCCTTTTGACACTGCCGGTTCTTCTAGAACAAATGCTGCTGTTCCAGCACGACACCAGAATTTCGAATTGGAAATTATTCATGAACTAGTGTAAATAAAGTCTCTCACTTTTAGGTTTCCTTCAAATGTAATCTGTACTTAATAAAACTTCCAAGATATACATCCGCACTATGAGTCTGTTATTACCCATACAGGCTTATTAGTCTACTTGCGATTTTCACAGTATTCTGTGTTTCTTAAATTATGCTTATTGAATATATATGTATTAAGTTTGGTTTTGACTTCTTGTTTGAATTGGAGACACTTATCTGCTAGATTTCACATGTTGTAGTTGTCTTAAAATCCTCTCTAATGTAGCCTTTACAATGGACATTAAAATTATCTGCCAGAAAATTAAAATTAACAAATTAGAGCATATTATGAACAACACATTTGTGGAAGAAATATCATCTCACAGAAAAGAAGGGTTTGTTTTTTATATTAATGCAGATTATGAACAACACACTTGGATGAGTCAATTTGCTAACTGATATTATCAATTGTCCTGGCGCAGTTTTAGTAGGAGACCAAAATGATGTTGAGCTACTAAACTATATAGGCAAAGTACCGTATGTTGCTGTTACCAACAAATGAACAATCCTGAATGTTTTTAAAGGGAATTATTTTCCGTACTCCACATTCATGAATGCTGATTGATTCCGGAAGCTATCCATTGTGGCATGTGTTGCAAAAAACCATGAGTATATTTGGAAACCCTTGGTTTGTTACAATATTGTGTTTGGCATATCTCTTTGATAAGCATCATCACATGAGGAAACCAGAAAAAAAATCGAAATTTTTTCCTTAATATGTTGATGGATATAATCCTAAATTTGGGATAAAATATGAGCTTTCTAGATCCAATCTTGCTCAGGCAAGATTAGTAGAAACATGTGTAAAATTTTTGTTTGATGTTCTCGCTCAAGCGAGAGAAGTCTCGCTTAGACGAAAATGCATCTCGCTCAAGTGAGGGTCCACTTGCTCAAGCGAAAATTAGCATGCCAAAAAGGGTATCTAAGAACTCTTCCGATTTTAAAACTTGTAAGCCAAACTACTCCTTCTCTCTTTTCTCTCTGTTTCCTTACTTCTTTCTTAGAGAAACCTCTCCTGAACTCTAAACTATCTTCGAATATGAGCCCATACGTCTATTCTACTCAACCTCAAATAAGTCTCGAAGCATAGTTCTCCAATTTTGTTTCTATTTCTCCATTTTTCTCCTTTATCAAAAGTGCTCTATTTTGTAATATATATGAAGAACTTGATCTTTTAGACAATATCTTCCTCAAACCTTCTAGTAAATTTTCTCATTGAGATAAAAGGGCTCTATTTCATTGTTAAAATGTTGAATACAGTGTGCTCATGAAAGCGTAATATTGTGTGTATTTGCCTCGTGAATGTGTTTAAATTAGAGTTTTGCTATTTGTTAAAGTTGGTGATACATGTTTGGTTGATATTGAATGACTGAAACGTATTTTCTTTGAAATATCTGTTTTGGACTAAGTCTAGATGTACTTGACCTTAGGGATGATTTATTTAGTTAAGTGATGAGAAATGGATAATGGAAAGTGTTTTTATAAGTGTTGGTGATGAAAGAAATTAGTGTAAATGGTTACAAAGATACATTGGATGTATAGAGTTTGGAGATGATTTGAGAAAACTAGAGAAATGAGAGTGGTGAATGTTATTCGTAGTGATTATGCATAAACTGATTAGACTAAAAGCTACATAGGTCTCACATTCATTTCTCAACTAGACTCCTTACTATACTTTTGCTAAGAGACCTGTTATTGTGTATGTTGTATAGAGTTTGGAGATGATTTGAGAAATATGGAGAAATAAAAGTGGTGAATGCTATTTGTAGTGATTATGCATAAACTGATTGGACTAAAAGCTACATAGGCCTCACATGCATTTCTTAACTAGACTCCTAACTATACTTTAATTAAAGGACCCCTTATTGTGTATGTTGTATCTATGAAAGTGTTTTATAAATGTTGGTGATGAAAGAAATTAGTGTAAATGGTTATAGAGATACACTTGAGGTATAGAGTTTGGAGATGATTTGAAAAATCTGGAAAGATGATAGTGGTGAATGCTATTTCGACTAGACTCCTTACTATACTTTTGTTAAGGGACCTATTATTGTATGTTGTATTTATGTGCATGAGCTAACTAGTGACCATTTACCTATGTATGTAAGACCTCATGAATGTTGAAGGCATCGTTTGACTGTGATTACAGTACACAAGAAAGTGCATATACATTTCACACTTGAATTCAGTATATTGCTATATAGAGCATGTTAACAAATCCACTAACCAAAGACTTAACTATTTGAGCTTTTTCAATGATCACGTAGTTCATATGGGTTTAGTTTAGTTTTTTGATATTTTGAATCAATGAGAATTTATTATGTATATTTACTTCTCGACATTATTTTTTTATTTTATTTAGAGATGATGATATCATTTTTCGTTGACATATCTCATATAACATTATTAAAATGCTTAGACCTTTTAGTGGAATTGCATATTTAAATTCTATTTGTGTTATTCATCTTTGAATGAAATATGAGTTTCTTAATAATATGTATGTATGGTGTTTATTTCTATCGTCTAGAAACTTGTTGTTTTTTTGGACATAATTAATTATAAAAATATTTTATGTGTCTAATGATTTAAATAATGTTATCCACATGTGAGAATGTTATATATATATTTTTTAATTTTATGAATTAAAAATATTTAATCATTAGAATAATATCATACTATACATTATGTTAATTAAATAATTTAGTGGATATCAATGTTGGACTTTTAATCAAAATGGTCATGATGAGTTAATTAATTCTTTTCATGCCCAATAAGTGATTCTTCCTCTCATCTAACTTTGGCTATAAAAGTTGTTTTCCATTAGACAACTTGTAGTATGTGAAAAACTTAGTTGACAATAAAATAGTAGTGTATACTCTTTTGCTCAAAATATCATAATTAAAATTATTGTTTTACAAAGCTTATAAGTATGGATTCAAAGTTCTCTTCGGGGTACACATAATTTTGATCCTAACCTATTATAGTTAATTAAAAGCAAAATTAAAATTTTCATCCCTTAACTTAACTTTAGAATAAGTTTTAATTTCATTTTTATTTTTGAAGTTTTTTTTATTTTTTTTTTATGTAAATCATTTTCGATAACTCCATTACATAACTTAAAACTTAACAAAACATCTTATGTGTTGTTGAAGTGCTTTTAAGGCTATTAACTAGTCCTATCTAAAACTTTGAATTGGAAGGTCATTTTACATGTGTAGAGGTTGTCCCACCTGAGCATCCCTTTCTCGATCCTTAATGACAATCTTTGCTTGGATTTAGCAACCTCAATCTAGTAAAACATGCGGTAGGAGCACTTTTTCGTGAGAAGATGATAAAGGCTGTGATAGGTTTGTGGTAGTTATAGACTACATGAAGTTGGTGGAAGGTTGCGAAGCTAAATCGAGATTGCATGAGAGCGTGAAATCATACATTAAATGATTGAAATTAAAAATTAAATTGATTGTGTTAACATAAATTCCATTAAGGAGGTGCAAGAAAATAGCACATCTATGTACCTTCAAAACTGAATGTTCGGGATTTTTTTTTTAAGAGACAAATCTACGACCATACAATTCATCCATGGCTTCTTCTTACGCTGCCACATCATCTACTGAAAGTGGAAAAAAAAAAAAACTCAACTTATTTTATTGATAAATGCCTAGACCGTTAAAGACAGAAGTCAACAACCTTGACCACTAATTTTAATCAAGCAATGTATTGGCTGATTTAATATCAAAGTGGATGATTCCTGAAGCAAAACCAGTATGAGCATGTAGTGGAGATCTCGTGCTGCACTAATGGACATTTCGAGACGTTGCTTCCAAGACAGAGGTGAGGTGGGAGTTGTGTGGAACCATACGAACACTACTTCCTATGACTTTTTCTCATTATACTAGTAGAAAAGTGTCATTTTTGACCGAATTTTCTTCACAAAATTCAACTAGTGAAACAAGGTGGTTATGGCAAAATTTTGATAAAATTGCTATTTCAGTCTGGAATTTAGGAAGGCCCTGTCTGGACCCTATACCTCTCTAGAAAGCAACCCTCACATTTTTTTAGCACTCCATTGTAGACCATGCCATACCCATCAGGCCAAATAATCAGTTTTCCTATATACAATGTACCTACTACCCATTGATACACACATCAAAGTAGAGCAAGTTGAGAACACGACCTTGAACAACCAGCATGCTTGCAAATATTAGTTTTACTTTATCTTCAACATGCTGAGATTGCCATTTGCAAAATCCCATCTTCATAAAATACAGTCTTCCGATAATGGAAAACAGAAAATGTAAAAATTTGAAAAGTTGAAAACATTAACTTAAATAAATTGCTTCGGTGGTAATAGGTTTCAATTTGCACATATTTTAAATATGATATTTTTTTAGTTGATTATTGGTTGGTTTTATGGACTTGGGGTGAGTGATCACATGACTTGTTAATATTTGTTTTCACTTGGTCCTTTTTTTTAATTAACCATTCCGTGATGGCCCTGAATGAGATTCTTTGTTAAGTATTTTCATTTATAATATTGGTTTTGTTCCATTTTAAATCATAAAGAAAAAGGATCTAACTGTTCTAGTGAAATTTTCTATTGTCAAACATGTTCTTGTAAAACAATAAATTTTCATTCTTTCTTGCAAGACTCAGTAACAGTTATTACATATCTCCCCAAAGCTTTGTGCAATCCTTTAATTTTACTTTTCTTTGGCTTTTCTACATTATTTTAATCATTTTATCATCCATCAATTTCTGCTATTATTACAAAATAATTTGTTACAGGCTACAAGGCATGCTGAAATGGAAGCTGTAGATGTGCTTCTAGAGCAGTGGTAGAAAAATGGGCTTTCAATCTTTGAAGTTGCTGAAAATTTCTCAAACTGCAGTCTTTATGTTACCTGTGAACCGTGCATTATCTGTGGATCTGCTTTATCAATTTTAGGTACGCTGCTTTGAGTATTCAATTAGTCACTTATAACCAAGGTAGTTAAATTGGAATTCAAATTGTGAATCGTATGAACTATTTTTTGAATCGTGAATCGAATCGTACTTTGAATCGTAAGATTCAAGATCAATAATTTAAAACATAAAAAATATAAATATAAGAATATTCTAACATATAAAAACAGATATATATATTAATATTTTGAAGTAAATAATATATCATTAACAATGTGACATATACTTGTAAGCAAACTAAGATTCAAATCATAACACTCAGTCACATTATCAAAAATAGTGTCTGCTCAAATTCAACATAAAGTCTTTCAAAAAGAGAAACAAAAAATGACAGTAAGTCACTATAGCAAAAGTTTGAATGGATATGATTATTCATCATCCCCAAGATCTATGTCACTTAGTTCATCCTCTTCATCTTCCAAAATCAAAAGTTCTTCTTCCACCCCATCTCTAATAATGCCTTCAATTTCATTATCATCTTCTATTATAGATTTTTCCTTCTTATCAGCTTTGGCATTTAAGTTTCTTGCACTTATAAAACCAAAATAATGGAACAAACATGACAATATGTATTTGAATAAATAAATTTTTAGTATTTTTTGTTCAAGTTCTAATTCTAAATCAGCACAAATACCTCTTTTTCTTTTCTTACTTGAAGCTCCCTCTTCAAAAGTAAAGCACTCATTTATATCCATCCATGAAGCATCATTTGGTAAACATGGATCCTCTTTTTCAACAATCCATTCATCATTTGATTCAATATTGGATAAGCATATGGGATCATAAGTCTCTCCCTTCTCTTCTCTACACTTTTGTCTCATCTCTAATTGTAGGTTATATTTAACAAACACAAGTGCATTTAGTCTTTGTTGTTCCAAACGATTTCTTCTTTTAGTATGCACTTGATCAAATGTACTCCAATTCCTTTCACATCCTGTTGCACTACATGTAAGACTCAAAATTCTCATGGCTACCTTTTGCAACTCTTTGCCATCTCCACCATAACTCTCCCACCAAAGAGCTATTAAAATTCAAAACAAAATATGTATAAACAATTAGCAAAGTATATCATGTTACTTATTGGTTTATAATTATTTGTAAAATTAACAAAGTATCAAGATTGAAGAGTTACTGGGTTGCTTCTTGTCTCTAGTGTCTATTGCCATATTCATTCCAAACAATCCTTTGGCTGACTTAAACTTCTTAAGTTGTTGATCAATCAAAAATCTTGTCCTTCTATCTGAAACCATTCTTTCAATAGTTTCATATAAACCATACAAAACCTCATTATCTGGATTAAAGTTTTTGTCATAATGGAACCTAACCAAACAATAAAAATTGGTCAGGATGAATAGGCTACTAAATGAAATTTAAGATATTAAGAATGTCTACTTACCTAGGATTGAGATAATATGCTGCTGCATAGAGAGGTCTATGTATTTGTAAATTCCACCTAGTATCAATGATCTTCCACACTTTCTTATACCTTGACTCTTTCTTTTGGAAATTTTCAGCAATTTGCTCTTTGGCTCTATCCATTGCTTCATAAATATATGGCATGGCTAGTTTTGAATCACTATCTACAAGTCTAAGTACTTTCACAAGTGGAATTACACACTTTAAACAATATTTGATGGATTTTCAAAATTTATCATCACTCAACACTATGCTCATCACTTGCTTAGCCTCAACTCTATTAGCATAAGAACTAGAAGCAAACTCTTCTGAAGCAAACATAGATCTAAGAGCATTCTTTTGTTGCATAATGTAATTTAATGTGAGATAAGCAGTTGCAAACCTTGTTACGGCTGGTCTAGCTAACTCCCTTCCCTTGGAATGCTTTCTGTACAGATTAAGGACCCATGTATGCCTATATATGTAAGTTGTGATTTTCTTTGCATTTGTAATGGTAGTATAGAAAATTGGAAGCTCTCCAATATCCTCTAGCACTAAATCAAGGCAATGGGCTGCACAAGGTGACCAAAATAATTTAGTTCTCTTCTCTTCTAATATTTTTCCTGCTGCCACAAGATTAGAAGCACCATCTGTTACAACTTGCACTATATTTTCTTCCCCAATTTCATCTACCATGTTGTCCAATAATTCAAACGTTTGCTTGGCATCCTTAATTACATCACTAGTATTAATAGATTTTAGAAAAACAGTCCCACTAGGACTGTTAACAAGAAAATTAGTTAGTGACCTTCCTTTCCCATCTGTCCAACCATCACACATCAAAGTGCAGCCCTATTTCTCCCATTCACTTTTGTATTTCTCCAAATTTTGATGGATGCTATCAACTACTTTCTTCAAAAAAGAGACTCTGACTTCATGATAAGTAGGAGGTTTTAAACCCTTGCCAAATTCTCCAATAGCTTTCACCATTTGAATAAAATGGGGGCTTCTAACCAAATTAAATGGTAAGGCATTAGCATAAATGCATTTGCAAATTTCTTGAATGACAACATCTCTATCTTTAAACATTGTATTCATTGTTGTTTGCTTCAAATTTTTAGATGTCCCTCCATTTTCTTTGTTGACAAAAGAATCCATACTTTTCTTTTGATGACCACTTACATCTTGAGTCTCAGCTTCTTCAAAAAACTCCAAGCTATTTTCATCTTTTTTCTTTTCTTTTTCTTGTAATAGCTTGATGAATATCTCCTTTACCTCATCGGGAAACACTTGTACAAGCACTTACATTTACCCTTGTTCCAGCTAAATGATGTTTCATCCTTGCAACTCCACCCCAACAAGAATGAGAACAATATTTGCATTTTACTAATAGCCTGTGCGGAGGGACACTTTCACAATGTTTCCATGTGATATCACTTTCTTTTATTTTTTTTTGTAGGACCCATTTGTCTCCCCAAATAGCAAACAGCAAGTAAAATAGAGAGGAGAAGCCAAATAAAAAAAAAAAGGAACCGTGGCAGAGGGAGAGGGGACCAAAAGTTGTGAGAAGGATTGAGAATATGATGAATATTAAACTCTATATGTAGAGAAAAGAGAAAAGAAAAGAGCGGGAATGTAAAGGAAATAAGAAAATAGGGTTTCCTTTTAATATTTTATAGGTGTACCAACAGAAAAAAATTAAAGTAAAAATCAGCAGTTCTGTACAAAAAAAATTTTAAAATTTTTTTTTTAGGGTTTTTACTGTTTCGTGCGCCGGGTTACGCTTGAATCGTGCGCCGCGTACTAAATCGTGTCTCAGCATGCGATTCGATCGATATATGCGATTCGTAATGCGATTCCAAATTTAAAACGATACTTGGTTTGATATGTATCCCTGCCGCAAAGATTCGTATTTAATCGGTAGATTCGTATCGCGTTTCATGCGATACTAACTACCGTGCTTATAACAGTTGCAATCTTTATGATGTCCTTTCAAATTCATATGTTAGTGTGTTTTGGTTCAACTTATTTTGAAAAAGTAATGTGTATATATTTTTGGGGTAGCAATGTGTAGTGCTTGGATTTTGTAGAAATTTCACTCTAACATATGGTTGTGTTACTGTATCAATTTTATTGTCATGATGCAAAGGTCTGCCGCTTTTTATCTTCCTAAATTTCTCACCACAATATTGTGCAATTAAAGTGTTCTTTACCCTTGGTCTTGTATGTTTGACAACTATTTCTGTTGAATTTTTTCATGAAATTACCTGATTTCATAGTTTAATTTTAAGGTATGATTTCATTTATATTGGTAAATAGTGTGGTGTTGATTTTGTACTTATGATCATTATATGATGCTTCCTCTTACTAAACTCTTACAAATAAAACATTTCAAAATTTTACCCACGTTAACGTATCTTTAAATCTAGAAAGTGAACAAACAGCATGAAGGATTCAAATTAACACCTTAAACAGCAAGATTTAGTTGTGAGGAGAAGGTTCTGAGAGAGAAGATGAATTAGAATTAAATGTCTTGAGAATTCGCACTAAGACTCGCGAAGGAAAATATAAGAACAATAGCTGCTTGTTAAGACATGGAATTGAGTTTCGCTGAATCATTATTAGGTGTCTTAGCATTTAAAATGATTCTCTTGGAAAAGAGTGACAATAGAACAGAAGATTTGTTTGTTTAGAAGGTTGAGAAAGATAACAAAATCTTTTTAAGGAAGTTTGAAGAAATCAATGTGACAGTCTCTCCATGTGCAAGGGTGAACTTCCTATTCAAAGATTCGGATGAGATTAGTTAATGACGTTAATGACACTTCTGTACCACATAAGATATCTTTGTTAGGATATCTAACAGAGTTAACAAAAAAGACTAATGTAAAAAAAAATCAAAACAAAACATAACTTCAAAGAAAAAAATGAATAAAAAAAATTAAAAGAAAAAAATGAAACTTATCACATAGTTAGAGGAGGAAAAAATTATTTTTACCTTAATTAAAATATAGGATAACATAATTATTAAATGTATTATTATCACTATAATCTTTTGCATATATTTCTTTCTAAAAGTTTATCTTTAGATAGTATTTATACTTGTATTTTTTTAAAAATAGCCTAATACTTGTTTGAAATGTCCATTAAAAATATTTTTCAAGCTATATAACATTTAAAATAATTCTACTAATTTAAAATATGCATTAACAAGTAGTTTTATTAGACTGAATTTATTTTAATATACTTGAAAAAAATTATTCCAAGTGCAAAATTACTGAAGGAAAGATCAGCATATCTAACAAAAGCAAAATATTTGAAGTGCACTTATGAATTTAATTTATTTTAAAAATTATCAATTTATTCATAGAATGTATTTAAACATTTTTTAAATTTATTTATTTATTTTATTTCTCTTCATCATATCTTTCACTTTATCTCATACGTTTTTCTCTTTTCTTCCTATTTATCTTTTAATAAGAGAGTGTTGTAAAACAACACGAGTAAATATATATATCTTTTTTAGAAAAAACAAATCATCCGAACATATTGGTAGCTTCAAAATGAATAATGTATCAATTTAACTTGTTCCAAATTGACAGGTGTGATTGGATAATTTACCATGTACTGAAATTTGAATCAGAAGTATATAAAATAAAAAATTTACACTTGCACAAAATCATGACAACAAAATCAAGGAAGGAAAAATTAACATGTTGAGGAATTGCAGTTATGCCACACTTCATGATGGTGTCTCGGAGCACCATAATCATCTACACCACCAGGTCATAACATGCCATGCACTATACAGCAGCTAACCGTTTCAAACTACACAATACTTCAACACTTAATAAATAACTTGTACCAAATCAATCATATCCAAGCACCAATCCCCTCAGTACTCCCCAATGCTATACTTAATTCGAGATAGATTGCCTATCTCTGTCAAGTACTATTCTTGGTGAATCACCAGTTATGCTTTCATCATGATAACTATCAGAATAACTGGAACTACTAAATGATGTTTGCCCAGAGTTGAGTTCATCATGTACATAGATATTATCTGGATAAAAAGAAGGCCTTTGAGGCAATTCAAGGCTTTCAATTTCCCCTTCAAGCATTTCCACCACCTTATTCATTGAAGGACGATCACTTGGTTTTAACTGAATACACCAAAGTGCAACCATGAACATCTTTTTTGCTAGAATATTGTCTTCTTCCGAGGCATCTACCATATCAATATTTTTCTCTTCTTTAAACTGATCATAGATCCAAAAGGGGAAGTAATGTTGGCTTGAATGCTCTGCATGAGGATTTGTGTTCCTTCTCTTACTTGCCATTTCCATCAAAAGCATTCCAAAGCTATAGACATCAGCCTTATACGATACTCCACCCATATTTTTGTAGAATAATTCCGGAGCCATGTAACCCAAAGTTCCTCTTGCTGCAGTTAAGGGGACAATGCTATCATCCACAGGATATAACTTTGCTAGTCCAAAATCTGAAACCTTTGGAATGAAGTTGTCATCTAGAAGTATATTATGAGGCTTGATATCAAAATGTAGAATTTGCATATCACAACCTTGGTGTATATATGCAATCCCACGAGCTATTCCAACAGATATTTCATATATTTTCTCGTAACTTAAAGGGTCACTTCCTTCTTTAGAAAAAATATATTTATCCAATGACCCATTAAGCATGAATTCATAAACTAGAGCACGTTTTTTTCCATCAACACAATATCCAACAAGACGTACCACATTCACGTGATGTATTCTTCCAATGGTAGCTACTTCACTTATAAAATCCTGTCCATTAGCATTGGATTTGCTCAACAACATCTTCACTGCTACATCCAACCCACTTCGAAGTTTTCCTTTGTACACAGAGCCAAAGCCTCCTTCACCCAGTTTTACTTTGAAACCTCCAGTCATTTTTTTTATTTCTTTGTATTCATACCTAATGGGATTTAGACTGCTGTCTAGCAAAAAAATCTCTATATTTTCATATATTGATAAATGTCTTCGACGCCACTTGTAGATTAACAAAACAAGGAGAAGTACAATTCCAAACAGATATCTAGCAGCCACAAATATTGGTACAACATTTCGTCCTATGAATATTCCTCCATCAAAATATTCTAGTCCAACAGGGTTGTCCAATTGTTTCGTGCTAAATGTTATTCTGCTGCCTATTCCTGCACGGATATTTCACCATATGAATTAGAATAAGGAACATGCTGCTTCACTAGAACTGCGTTCAAGCACAAAATCTTATGACAAATATTGTATGATGCGAAATCATTATTCAAGAAATAGATAGAAGGGTCTTACCAAATATAATGCCTCTAAGATAAGCTGCAAAACCAAAGTAAAAAAGAATAAAAGATCGTGTCAATCCAAAAAGGATACACAATTTTAAAAATAACTTCACAGAAAGAAGTAACTGAGTATTGACACAAGAAAGCTAAATAAAAGAAAAATAGTTCTGTTCTATCAGATGAAAGTTACAAAATGTTTCTAGTTATATTTTAACTATGAAGTAATCATTAATTATCAACAAATAAACACACCCCAATTTAAATTGGAAATAATGTTATTGACCACAACTTTTTATTTTTGCCTCTAAGCATAAATGTGAAAACCGACATATTTTGAACTTTTATACTACCTTCATATTGTGATACATATGTACAGATATATTTGGTATTGTATTCACCGCAAATTGAACCAACATATAATTTATATAAATTTCGATTTGATAAACATGTTTAAAATATAGGTGCTTATTTCACTGAAGAAAAGGTCTAATAAATACTTATTAAATACAAAGAATTAGAAAGTGGAAAAGATAGCAATAGCAGAGAAAGAGAAAAGATGGAAAGGGTTCCTAACCTCGAGTATAGCCAATAATCTGTTGCCAATATTCTGGGACACCGAAAAAAAAGAAATAATGTTAGCATATAATAAAATTCTGAAAACGAAAGATCAGACTTGTATGGCGAAAAAATTATAAATTGATTTGTGTAAGTAAATAAGCATGTATATTTCTGAGAAATTTAATGATGCATAGGAGTAATTATCTTGCATAAAAACAGGCCTTTTCTTAGGAATTAAAGTTTAGGAAAGGGAAAAACAGGGTTGTAAAAAGATACACAAGCATGTCTATTATTTATTATTTATTTTACATAACAAATAGATACACAAGGAACAAATAATTATTAAAAAGATGTAAAAAGAATAGCGAAGCAATTCATACCGCACTTATCGGTGGTGTGGTAGGCATAGTGACAGTAGTGCTTGTTACATTGGACTTGTCCGTTGGATTCATTGATAACCTCGCAATTGGTCCCTTTTCCACATCGATCTTCACAAATAACAGGCAACCACGACAACTGAAACCCCTCCACAATTATCCTATGAATCTCATCATAGGAAACGTTCCCCTGTTGTGTCTCCGGAAGCTTCCTCGAACTTCCCAAGGTAGCCACCGTAAGATTGCACCCAACCTTGATGTCCTTCACACGGTAATCAAACAATGATGGTTCCAAAAGAGCATAGACATGCCCTCGCGAGCCACAACCACTCGTATCCACCTTAACATAACGAGGATCACCAGTCACTGGATTGGTACAGTTGAAGTAGGCTATTCTCGGAGGATCTATGGGGTCCAAAAGAAAAGGCTGTGATCCAAAATCATCTGGGCCAACGAGGCCCGTGGGCCTGAAACTGCCATCGGACAAAAAATAGCGAGGGATGAAGGAACAAGTGGCGTCCTCCCCTGCACCCGCATCACTAACTACCATTTTATATCTCTTGTAATCGATGTCTTGTACATGGTATTTCCCTGAGAACAAAGTTAACAGTGTCGCGTTGTTCACGCAATCTAATTGGTACCTTGGGTCGCCGCAGTGGCTTGGCTCGCCTCTGAGTCGAAATGGGTAAGAAATGTTACCAATTTTGCCGCATGATGAAGGAGGACATGGTGGATTGTTCTTAGCGGTGCAATTTTGTTGGAATAGGAGAAGGATTGTGGCAAATATTAACACAAGGCTATGAGCACAGGAACAACTGAGGTACCACCCTTCCTTTCCCATCCCTGAAAAGCACAAAAGCACATTGATGTTGTGCTTCTAATCTTCTTTTGCTTTTTCGAATTGAAAATATATGCGTATCATTGTTGACAGTGCCCCACAAGGCTTTCGCGTTCTCATTTTTCGCGTTTTCTTCTTCCTTGTTCCACCGTACAAATATTCAATTTCTAAATTGCTATATTCCATTCTCAGTTACAAAAATTGCAAGTCATCAATTAGATAAAAAGATAGAGACTCACCAAAAGGGGTAAAGATATTGATACATTGTCTGTTTTACGACTCTATTCTGAACATTTCATGAATTAATAATAATATTAAAATGATAGAGACTCGCCAAAAGGGATAAAGGTATGCTAAACTCGTTATCTTTTATTTAAAAATACTGTTCAAAATATAACTAAAAATTAATAATAATATTGTTATTAAAAATTGTATTAAAAAGTAATAAATAAATATTAATAATACGTGTTAACAAAAATTATTTGAAGTTTTTTAAACAATATTTCAAAAACATTCCCTGTTCCAATTCGTAATAGTTCTGGCAACGTACCACTTTCTTGACTATAAGGAAGAGCGGTGCTTTCGAAAATAAATCATTTATAAAGGCATAGACCCTCTACAGACCACACGATTCCAGTTGTGAATGTTGAACGAATTGTAGAAAGCAAAGCCCACATGGCCACTTGCTAATTTATTAGGGGAAAATATTTAATTAGTTATCGGATTTATTAGGGTAACTTTTATCCTTGTTATGCATGGATTTTTTTTATATTTAATAGTTATAAGGTTTATCTTTTATTATTTATTTTAAATGATAAAATTTATTTAATGTAAATAATTTCTTTTTTTTATACTTAAAAAGAATTCAAAATGTTTTTTTTTCCAATATTGAATATCACAAATTGGTTTTAACATAAATGATCCAAAATTAATTTTTATCTACAATTCGTGATTATTGCTAACCTGAAAAAAAATTATGTGGTATAAATATAAGGCTTGTTTTTTTTTTAAATAGACAAATATCACAATGTGAACGTAATAGAGTCCTACACTACTGTATCAAATCTTGGGATTGAATTTAAAATTTTTAATAATTTATTTTAAATATATTATTTTATCTTAATTGACTTTATAAAATGTTTTCGTAAGATTTTATTTTTTACGACTTAAAATATTTAAACAATAATTTTTTATATCTTATAAAAGTGATATGCTTATAAAATGTTTGATCAAATTGGTAGGTAACCATATAATATTAATTATATCAATAATTATATATAAAAAAGAAATAATTTATTAACGAGTAAAGTTTCATTTTAATTTTTAAAATATGCAATATAACTAAAAGTTGATTCTCAAAATTATATATTTGAAAATAAATCTCTAAAATTAACAAATGTCACTTTAGTTCTTATCGTCATTAAAAATAAATAACAGAATATTAATTTATCACATTAAGTGACAAACATCCATGTGAACTCCAAAAGACATTATTTTGCAACTTTTTTTATTGTATAAATTCATCTTTCTCAAAACATAATGTTAAACCTAATTGTTTCTTATTTACTATGTCAACAAATTCCATCATTTTCTTCCTTCAAAACTATAAATTTCCATCTTCTTTTCACATGGCCAATGATGGAAATGCATACCATTTCTCCAGAATCAATAGTGAAAGAATCATTTAGTTTTTTATGTTCATTACATGAAGAGATTAAGAACTAGTACAAATATAAGTAGATTGTTCTTCGCATGCCCTAATTATAGTGACAGAGAAAAGGACATGGTGAGGTTAATACTTGTAATGAGTTAATTTACTGAGAATAGAGTTACAAGATAATAAAAGTTGTTTTTGTTTTTTTAGGTTATTAGTTATTGTGAATACTTTTGTTGAGTTGATAATGTAATAGAAGTAGATAATATTAATATTCCTAACAAAAGTTTACATGCAGTAGTTGCACATAAATGAAAAATACAAGTTGTTTTGAAGATTACAAGTCTAGAAGATAAAGTTAAGGGATTCAAATGTTGTGTAATAGTATAGTGTATTATGGTCATTATGATAATAATATTTGGATTGGTTAACTTATTGAAGTAAAATGTATGTTATAGTTGTAGCATGGGTAATAGTTTATGTATTAATGATGTAGTATACTATTGGTAGTTTATGTCCTATTTTAAGCAATGAATGAAATTAAATGTATAAGACTTTTAAGGCAATTTTTGCATTCATTGTAAAATGACAATATGCTAGTGCTAATTGAGATATATTTCTATAAATACCAATATTCAAAAGGGATAACAACTTTTACATATCTATATCTAAAACAACATTGTTCATTAACATGTATTTTACTTACAACACCCTTCATAATTACCTATAAAATAACAAATTACATACTTCATACAAAAGACAATGTTAACTATCAAGTTAATCTTGCTGCTTCTAGATGGTTGAAATGAGAATAAATTGCATTATATCCAAATTTTTTACTTCAAGCATGTGAGAATCATTAGCAAGTAGGTGGTGGATTAGTTGCGGCTGTCATAGAAGGTTGAACAAGTTCATATGTCTTTTTCTTACTGATTGCAAGTTCAACCATAAGTTCAACACCAAATTGGTACCTATTGAAAGAATAACAGTAAACCAGAAAGATACAAGATGGGTTCATTTATTTAAAATAACTAAAGTACTTATATAGGCAAGTACACAACTGAAAAATACCAACAAAATAGGATGCACTACAGCCGTGATTCAAAAACTCCTAATTACCATAAAAATATCCCTAAGGAAAAGGACCATTAAGACCTAACAAAATAACAACCAAAAAACATGTTAAAAAACAAATACACCAACAAACCCTTCGTTAAACTGATATTTGCTACAATTCAGTTTAATGGCTTGACTATAGGGGTGAGCAAAAAATTCAAATATACAGGCTCAATCCATAACTTAAGCCCAACTAGATTTTCAAATCCAAATTTTTTAAGAAATCAGATAACTCAATCGATAAGAAAAAAAATTTTGAATATGAACTATATCTGATATATCAAAAGTAAATATGATTTGAGAAAACCATATTTCTACTTCTCTTTCTTCTAAACTTGAGATCTCTATCAACATTGGCTAGTAATACCGGTTCAGCATCGCAACATCGCAGGTAAGTACCCTCCTCTTCAATGAGTTTTCCACAGTATTAGATTCTTTTATCAATGTTCTTTATACGAATTTCTTTATCAATAAGAATGCCTTTATGGATTGGAGAAAGATTAGGATCAAATATGGTTCTTAAATGGACTAAAAAGAGTACAAAGAGTAACTATGGTATATTATTGGTTGCACTTGATATATATAACTCATCTTTCAATGTGTTTGTGCTATGTGCTTGCACATGTTTTCTGAGTTGGTGTGTTTTGCATTCCTCCATTGGTGTGTTTCGCATTATTCTTCTCTAATTCGTATTCCACCTTTTCTTATAATTGTTGTAGTACTTGTGAATTTTTTATTTTATTTTTTACTCACTGGTGCTTCAGGGCTGAGCACTATTTTTCTATATTTGTTCTTTTATTTGTTAGAATAAATTAATAACAAAAATTATAGTCCTATATAAAATATTTTCTGTTATGGATGCTGTTTATTTTTTAAAAAACGGGGCCATAACTGTAATTATTTTGTGTAATGTTGAAGAATTTATGCTTTTGAGTATTTGTTGTCTTTTGTGCATATTAAGTCTTTGCAATGTGGATTTGTTTTATTTCCAAATTATTATAATTTGGTTTTACAATGCAAAACTTGCATTCGCTTTTGTATATCGAGAGGTGCTTGTGTCCACCACCATGCCAGATAATGCAGTTGTTAAATGAAAAGCAGGTACTGTTATGGTTAGCAATGCATACATTTATAATTTTTTAATCATTATTGCATTCTACTCTAATCTATGTTTGATAGTGGAATTCAAGCTTCAAATTTTATGCTACATTTATATTTTAATGTCATTTACATAGTAGTTGTCTGCAAGTTTGTTTTTATGATTTGCTTATTTTACATGGTAGGAAAAATTTTAGTTTGCATTATTCAAGACAAACGAGAAAGAGAGCCTTTTTCTTCAAAAAAAGTTAATATTGTATTTTCTGCTTCTACTCTAGCTGGCTAACTAATTAGCTACTCTTAATTGCTTCCTATAAGCCTGTACAAAATTTTTCTTAGAAAACTGTTGGTTGGTTCAGTGTAAATTAGTAGAATTGTGCCCGACTACACTAGTTTACTGGAGGGAAGTATGCATTTTTTTTTGTCAGTGGATGTGTTCCTATTCCTGGTTGTGCTGCCCCAAGGTCTCCTATATTAATTCCTATTTGTGTTGAAAATCATGCATCCATTTATTGCCTTTCATCACAATTGGCTGCCTATATTAAGATAAACTTGAACTTGTTATCCAATACTTTGAATTACCAATACATTATTCATTATGATTTTCTCCTTTAGTGGTCACAAGGTCGTAACTTACTTAAATTTGAAATGGATTTTGTGAGATGATGTTCATAGGGATGTTATTCCTTTACACTAGCCAAGAAGAAAGCATTGTTATTTAATTCTTCAAATGCCTTTTCAGATATTTTACTGATAAAATCTTGCATTAAATAATAAATTGCTATGAAACACATGAATTTGCTGTAAAGATACTATTCTCCTTGAAAGGACAAAGAACATACAATAAAAGAAACTTAAAGTAACCAGTATTTTTGTAATCGTTATTATTGGGGGTAGAGGTATGTAACTAATAGTAGATATTCTTAATTTTATGCAGGGTCAAGTAGTATATTTGAGACATTGCGGCTGAGAAAACCTTTAATTGTAATCGTAAATGAAGATTTGATGTATAATCATCAAAGTAAGTTTTTTTCTCCCAAAAAAGTTAATATTGTATAAGAATAAAACTGGTTTTAACTAAAACTAAATTTAAAACCAGTTTTAACCAAAATCAGATTTAAAACTAATTTTAAACCAAATCCAAATTTTAAAACTATTTTTAAACTACTTTTAAAAAAAAAAATAAAGTGGTTTAAAATCTAATTCATAAATTTGGATTTAAAATAGACTTGGATTGGGTTTTTATAAATCTAATCCATGCGCACCCCTACTTGACTGACTTCAGTGTGCAACCTCCAAGTGACCTTTTGTGCTTTATGAGTGCATTGGTGAAGATATCAGCAACTTGATCTTCACTCCTATAGTAGATCAGATTAATTACTTAATTATTGCTTACTT